CAGGAACTAACAAGGAAAATGAGCTAGTAACAGGTCACCCCACCTTCACTATACATGAAGGTCAAACCTAAAACAAACCCATTGCAAGCAGGGACTTACAGTGAGGGGTTTGCACTTTTTTTCTCTTTCCTATAGATATTCTCTCTCATTTTCAACCCCCCTTCCTCCCCACCCCATCAAGTAGGAATTACTTCATTCATTGTACTTGCTCCTAGAACAATAGTAGGAGCTTAATAATTGATTTTCCTATTTTACTTATATTTGATACATCGTAATTATACATAACTATTACTTCAAAGATTATTACTGCATATAAATAGTATTTCATAAGTTATTATTGCATATAACTATTGTTTCCTAGGTTCTTACTATTTCTGTTGCATGTTTAATCATTAGTTTAGCATTACTGATTTGCTAAACGTAATTTTTATATTACCACTACTTGAAAAAATGGAGGCTGACATGTTTAATAAATATTTTAATTTTTAAAACTATAAACTCAAGGAAATATCTCCCGATTTTAAGAGCTGACTCAAAGAATAAAGATAAGGACATTAAAAGCATATTGAAATGAAAGGTCAAAGAACTAGGAGATTGGAAAGTAATTCATAGACAGTTCAGGGCTGGGGATTGTGTTACCAGGCAACAGAATAAAACGGGCAGTGCTGGGCTTCAAAGTTCGTAACCAATCTTAGATACTCTCCAGTTGGGTGACCCAGAGCAAGTCCCTTGTCTGAGCTTCAGTTTTCTCCTCAAAAAAAAAAAACGTGGAAATATGAGCTTAATAATCATAATAATGAGTTGTCGTCAGGCTCAAATTACATAATGTATATAAAGGAGTTTGCGAACCTTAAAGCAGCATGTAAATTAACATGAGCTGCTGTTTAAATATTCATGTATGAATAGATTCAAATTAGAAGGCTCTTTCTTCATCTAATAATACTTGATATATGATGCTTTGAGATTTATACAATGCCTACATTTTTTTTCATCTGGGCTTAGATGCCTATTTTGAAAAATCTTGGGCCCCCACTTTGGAGATTGTAGTGCTTTTTTCTCTTTTTAATAGCATTTTTTCCCCAATTACATGTAAAGACAATTTTTAACAATCATTTTAAAAAATTTTTGAGTTCCAAACTTTCTCCCTCTCTCCCTCACCTTCCCCCTCCCTAAGACAGTAAGAATTTTAAATAGATTATATATGTGCAATCACGTGAAACATATTTCTATATTACTCATGTTACGAAAGGAGAAACGGACCAAAAGAAAAAAAAATGAAAAAAGACAAAGAAAGTGAAAATAGTATGCTTTGATTTGCATTCAGACTCCATCAGTTCTTTCTTTAGATGTGGATAGCATTTTTCATCATGAGTCCTTTAGAATTGTCTTGGATCATTGTATTGCTGAGAAGAGCTAAATCATTCAGTTGATCATCCTACAGTATTGATGTCACTGTGCGCAATGTCTCCGGGTTCTGCTCACTTCACTTTGCATCAGTTCATGTAAGTCTTCCCAAGTTCTTCTGAAATCTGCCTGCTTGTCTTATAGCACATTACCATCCACATACCACAACTTATTCAGCTGTTCCCCAATTGATGAACATCCCCTCAATTTCCAATTCTTCGCCACCACAAAAAGAGCTGTTATAGCACTCTCTTGATGACTTCGATGGGTCCTTTCGTCAAAAGACCTGGTTCAGACCACTCAACCAACTGTATATAACCTTGAACCAGTCATTTAATTTCCTATGCTCTCCAGGCATGGCAGACAGCTTCCATTTTTCAAGTCTCAGAATCTTGGAGTTGAAAAGGACCTCAGAGGTCATTTAGTTTAACCAGCACCTGAATGAGAATTCCTTCATGATCTAATGGTCATCCAGCCTATGTCTGAAGACCCTGGGTGATGGAGAACCAACCCACCACCTCCTGAGGCAAATCTTTCCATTTGGGGACAGCTGTCATCAGGAGAAAGTTTCTTCTTGTGTCAAGTCAAAAGGGATGAAATCATACGAAGAAACTCTGCTTAGAAAGCAAATTAGTGATTAGCCCCCAAATGGAAACTCTTCTCAGCTGATCTCTCAGATACTGTGGAAAGATGGATGAGATTTCTGAAAGCTTCAACTTCTAATGAGTACTTATCTCTTCAAAGACAAGACACCAAGACACCAACAAGACATCTTAGAAGGTTACTCTGTCCCAACCCACACATTAATCAAATACAAATTCTCCTCAAGGATTTGACTTTGTACACAGGAATTCCAGCCACTTGCTACTTGTAGGATGACAAAACCTAAACTAATGAATCTCTTCAGGTTTCTCTCAGATACTCAAGTAACCCTGGTGGGGAAAGGAGAGTAGTAGCATGGAGATAATAGTAGGACCATAGATTTATAGCTGGCAGTCTTAAAGGTTATCTCATTGAACTTTCCCATTTTAGTAGATGACAAAACTGAGGTTCAGAGATGAGAAAACTAAGCGATTCTCCTTTAGTCACATAATAGCAGTGGTGGCATTTAAAACCCAGTCTCTCGGACTTGAAATCCTATACTCTGGGGCCATGAATTCCAAACCTCCATTTAGGAGAGACCCCAGCTCAGACCAGACATCACCTTATTCCTCACCTGGCTACACTTACCTTTATAGTTGTGGAAATTGAGGCAAATAGAGGTTAAATGTCTTGCCCAGAGTCACAAAGCTAGGAAGTGTCTGAACTCCAGGCCCATTGATCTATCCAGGTGCCTGTAAGAATTGTTCCATCACTCATGTTCCACTCTACGTGACTCTGTTTTCTTGGCAGACACTGGAGTGGTTTGCCATTTCCTTCTCCAGCTCATTTTACAAATGAGGAAACTGAGGCAAATATCATTAAGAGACTTGCCCAGGGTCGCACAAGTGGTGTGTATCTGAGACCACATTTGAACTCAGAAGTGTGAGTCTCCCCAACACCATGCTCTGCACTCCATGCACTATGGCGCCACCTAGCTGCCACCAATAGCCTCTAATAATAGCTACCATTTCTATAGTATTTTAAGATTTGCTTTACACGTTATGTTATTTAGTCCTCACAATAACCCTGAGACTCAGGTTCTATTATTGTCCCCATTTTATGTTACACAACCAGAGACCTAATTTCAGATGCCATTATAATTAATGCCCTTGGACACCCAAACCTTTTAAGAGTTAGACACTTAAGTGTCTTATACACACCTTCTTTGGGTCTCCCAACCACTCTATGGATTAAGTATCCTACAGATGGCCCATCATTCCATGCCCAATCAGATCCTGCCACCATGTTGTTGGACTTGAAAAAGCAAATGAACTGATCTAGAGGGAGAAAGTCAGGTAGAGTAGTGGATGGAGCCCAGGATGGAGTCGAGGTTCTGAGTTGTATACTATCTCTGTCATCCTGGGCAATTCTCTTGGCTTCTGTGCCTCGTTTCCCATTCTGTAAAATGAGGATAGGCCCTACCCGATATGGTTGAGAGAATCAATTGGATTACTACGGAAAAGCACTTTGAAAATCTTAACATAAGCTTTAAATGCTAGGCTAGGCTGTTATCATCTTCAGAAGAGAAAAACCCTGAAAGGTGGCTTAAGAAGTATCAGATGACCCCAAGTGTCTGAGTATAAACCATGAAAATTGGGGAGAGGTGAGCTGTTTGAATTTTGAAGCAGAAAAGTGGAGGAAAAAACTTTTTACCATAATCTAACTTCAAAGTAGCTTTTAGCACCACCTAAATAAAAGCCATAAAGGTGTGAGGAAAGGTCTGTAGAGGACACTTTCTCCCACCATCTCCAGAGTCCCTTCTACTTCCTATGCAACCTGAAAGCATTTCCTGGTCTGTACCAGTCCTAGCTACGGTTTTCTGAATTTTTTTTTTTTTTTTGGTGAGGCAAAAGGGGTTGTGACTTGCCCCAAGTCACACACCTAGTGAATGTTATGTGTCTGAGGCTGGATTTGAACTCAGGTCCTACTGACTTCAGGGCCGGTGCTCTAGCCACTGCACCACCTAGCTGCCTCTTTTCTCACTGACTTTTATACTTTTGCTTTTTAACACTTTGGTAACTATTGCAATATAGCAGGTATCCTTTAAAATCCTTTTTAAGCATCAAAACATTCTCAAAAGGGGTACAATGGTTTAAGAGGCAAACAAGGGGATCGATGACATAAAAAGTTAAGACCACGCAAAACCAAAACCTTCTGCATCTGTCTTGGTTTTGAAATGGTTCATCAGCAATTTTTAAAATCATATATTGTATCAGCAGCCACAACTTGGACCTGACCAACTTCCCCACCCCTTTTCAAAAAGTACTTGCTATCTGGTTAGGCAGAGAAATGAGCGCCTGTGATGTGCCCTGTGCTGACTGAGGTTTATTCCCCCAAACTCCCTGAACAAGGAGGCAAATACACACACACTGGGCAGGAGCGCCTCACTATGGTGATCTGGGAAGTGCACAAGCAGCCACTGTAAACACCTCCTGCCCCTCACGGGGCAGCCAAGTTGACATGCCTAAAACCAGCAAGGCTTCGGTTGGCATCTACTGGCTTAGGCACACTGTGAGTGTTAGACTGACCCTAAAAATCTCCTTTCCAGATTTGAAGCAGTTATCAAGTTACTAAATCCCGAGATGCTTCATTCAATCTTTGGTCCGGAGTATCAGCAGCATAGACCAGCATAAAAGTTAGACAAGTGGCTCAGAAAGGATTAAATCCACACCCGAGATGAAACTGAAGCTGCTGCTTGTAGCCGTGCCAGACTCCTAAATCTCTGGCACTAAGTCTCCACAAATCATTCGATAACAACTAATTTTGACCTTACTGTTAATCCTAGGCCAAAAGAAAAAATACCAAGAAGATTCCCTAAGAAGTCTTACAAACTGATCTAAGTTTGGACTTAGTTTGGACTAAGTTTCAGGAAGACTCAGGATTCCTAAGTGTGAAAACCTGGGGCAAAAAATTGGAGTAATCAATAGAAAGGATGAAATATTCGACACCAAGAATGTAAGAAACCAATGTTTATTTTCCATCAGCATTTTTCCAACACTATTAGAGCAGGTGGGGTAAAACTTAAGACCACTCTGTGGTAGTTCCTACCCACTCGGTGGCCTGAGCAGTAGGCGCCGCAGACCAGTCCTCCGTAGCCGGCTGAGCGCTCCAATCTTCTGAAAACAGGAAAAAAAAGAGCTCGTGAGCTCTGTTCCCAAAGAGCATCTCCCCCACCCCACCCGCCTTTTAGTGCAACAAACATTTCTTTAAAGAACATGCCATGACAGCACGTATGGGAAGCTCGCATAGATGACATTTTCTAAATCTCTTAAACAGAAACAGAACCACTCTCCTCAACTCAAGGAAATACCCACTATATTACCAGTGTGCCTGGGAGAAGAATTCACCTCTTCTGTATGCACCCTAAGCACAGCAGGACCAAGGGTCCCCATTCTCCATGTCCTAATACACTAGTTAGGACACTCTCTAACCTCCACACTCACCGGTAGGGAACTGCTGAATGGGCACAGATGGCACCTGTACTCCCTCAGACCAGTCAGCCACCTCCGGCTGAGTAGCAGTGAATTCTGGGGCAGGTGCAGTCCATTCACCCTGAAACTCCTCCTTTGTCACTGCCTTCTCAGCTGCGGCCTGCTCTTCCTTCTCAATCTGGCAAAAAAACATGGGACGCACATACATCATTATACATGCTAAGCAACTCTCAAGTTATTGTTAAGCAACATGGCACAGGGTAGTTTTCTTAACTCCAGAAAATTACTTATGTTCTGGGTAAGCTACAGCAGCCAACTACGCCCACGTAATGCACAAGCTACTTTCAACAAGGGCCCATTGATTTCAATACTAAAGATGACCGAGTTACCTCCTCTGGATCCCTGTAGAAGTAAAGATCGGGCATGACCTCCCATGGGTGTTCACGGGAGATGGTGCCACGCATACGCAGAACTTCACGGGCCAGCATCCACCACATCAGACCCACTGAGTGAGCTCCCTGCAAAAATCACACTGCTGAATAGAATCCAAGCAAATACTGTGGTAGCTCCCTCACTTCTTAACAGCCCATTGTCATACTTTCTCTAGGTTCCACAACAAAATAAAACTATGTAACAGCTACCTGTGGTTTGTCTCAAAGCGCAGTGTGGTACAAAGAACCTCTCAGACAGCCTTAAACCAATCTGCTATCCATCTGCAAATTCATAAAGCCGGGAGAAGGAACCTCTTTAAAAACAGCAGAGGCTAAGAAATTACACAGGCATAAAGAGACAGGTGTGCAGAAAAAAGCCTCCATTATGCCCAGAAGCTGAACACCTCTTAGGTCCTGGGGTATCTATTCCAGGTTGCCTAACACCTCCTCTAGGGTCTATTTTAGTTCTTTACTCCTGTGGAACTTTTCTCTTAAAAGTTTCTTAAGTATCTGTTGCACGGAATACTATCAAACTCCACTCATCGGACCACAAAGGCCCTTGTGGTGTTAGCGAAAAGCCTGCCATTAATGTAGCACACAACCTACACTTGTGAGTTCATTGGCCAGTAACTGGCCTCAGCTCCAAGCTCTAACAGTGTGCGATGTCACCCAGTGAGCTCTTTCCAAGAGCTAATCCAAGGCCAAAGATCAAATGAGATGACTTGTAAAGAGCTTAGCACAGTGCTGGGCACACTGCAACCACAATATATAAATGTGCACTCCCTTCCCCTCGCCCCAAGACCAAACTAAAAAAAAATGACAGCGAGATCCTGGCTGATACCTTGTTGTTACATGGAATGGCGATGTCCACATAGCGAAGCGGGGAGTCTGTGTTGCACAATGCAATGGTTGGAAGGTTAACATACGATGCTTCGGTAAGAGGCTGGTGATCCGCCCGAGGATCAGTGACCACCAAGAGGCGAGGCTCCCTGAAAGCTGCCTGGATCTGGTTAGTGAAGGTGCCCGGTGTGAAACGTCCAGCAATAGGCGTGGCGCCAGTGGCAGCAGCAAATTTCAGAACAGCTCGCTGAGGACAAAAGGGATGAACCAAAGGGTTACAGAGGCCCTAAACCACATTGCCCAGCAAGAACAAAGAAGATGGCGAGCCATCAATTCCTCCATGCACATACCCAATTAGCTCAAGCTTCTCTTTGGTAATGAATTTCAAAAATATTCTCTCACATTTCTATTTCCTAGCATTATGTAGAAAAAGCCTCTCCATTATTATGCCCTAAGAAGTGACAAAATGGAGTTTCAGAGGAAACAAAAAGATCTCCGTGAACTGATGCAGGGTGAAGTGAGTAGAACAAGAACAATCTGTGCAATGATAACATCATAGAGAAAAACTTTCAAAGACTTTAGATGATAAACCTTAACTCCCCAAGACTGAATATTAATCATGCCACCTACACCCTGCCAGAGGAAATGGATTTAAAATCCAAAGACGGTTTTCTAAACTGTTTTCCCGGGAAAGGCCAGTTAGAATAAATGCTCACAAAAGTAGATTTGTTCTTTTTTTTTTAAAGTCTCACATCTAAGAATATATTCCTCTGAGAAAATCTTAGGTATAAAAACAAGTATTGATGAATTTCCTAACTTTTTCATGCTTTCAATGAACTACATAAAATCTGGCTGAAAGGGATACTTGCTAAGGTTCGTTTTTTGGAGTTTTGTTAATATAACTTGTCTTCAGATTGAAACAAATACAAATGTATGTAGTAAACTCTAGTCACAGATGTAGTTTCTAATGGTTTTATATATGGGTCTCCTATTGGCCCGACCTTTGAATTTTGGTCACAACTGACACCAGTTATTGTATAACACTAATGAGGGCAACAGTGAAGGCACCAACAATATGTGAACTTATAATTTCCCCCCATTCTACAGTGAGCTAACTCTTCAGCTTTGCCTTCAAGATGGAATGTGCCTGGCTCTGAATTTGTTTTGGAATGTGGATTATTTAGAAATAAAGCAACAACCAAATTCTTTATGTTTACATTTTGCTAACTCATCTTTTCATATTTTCTTTAACTTCACTCATTAACAGTCACTTCATTCATTGTAATCACTCATTAGACTGAAACTCCATGACAGCAAACCACCCCCCAAAGACACCAACAAGTTAAAGCAATGGACACTCTGTCTGTCCCTCTAGATTTCCAGCTGGCTCTGGGCCACCTAAAAGACCCTGGTCATGCTAGAGTGCGAGAGCAGCACCCCAGTGATATCAGCTCCAATCTAACTGTCTGAGCCTCACTCACTTCATCTGTACAAGGGATGACCTACTGTACCATTTACCTTCTTAGGCCTGTTGTGAGAATCAGAGGAGAATGTACCTGATAAACTATCAATGTGACTTATCAGCAGTCTGGGCCCCACATACCTGACCAGTGTTCCTGGATGAGATGACACTAACATCAGCTGGATTTTCAATGGCGACAATGGCACGAGCTGCCAGCAGAAGCTTTTCCCAAGTTCTCTTCAAATTGATGATGTAGATGCCTATAGGGGGCAGAACCAAGTTCTCAAAACCAACTCGCATGTAACACTAAGAACACCACTTAAAATCAGGCTTGTGGCAGTGACTACTATCAAACTCCAGTCACAGAGGCAAGCTCTACTGGTGTTAGCGAAAATCCTGCCAACATACTGTAGCACACTTCCGACACTCAGAAGTTTATTGGCCCAAAACCGGCCTAAACTCTGGGTTTTAATAATGTGCTGAGTAGAATTAACCTAACAGTAAAGTCTTTTGCTTGCATTCCTACAACCTCACCTGGATTAGCACTGTAAAGTGGCTTCTTCTATTATGTTCTATGCCTTTGTGCTAACTGCAAATCTCTTACCTTCAGTTACACACTGTTATTTGTAATTTATCTCAAACTATTTCAAGGTATTCAAATATGAGGAAAAGTTCACTATTTTTAAAAAGCTACTGCAATATCTATTAAATATAGGGCCTAGAATCAGAAAGATCTTCTTTTAAATAGTCTCATACTTACTAGCTATGTCAGCCTGGCCAAATTTACTTAACTGCCTGTTTCCTCAAACTTGAAATGGGGATCATAATAGCACCCACCTGACAGGGCTATGAGGATCAAAGGAGTTATCTGTAAAGCCCTTACTCTATGTACCAGCACGAGGTACACAGCAGACACTAAATAAATGTTTGTTCCCAACAACCCAAATGCATGATTACATGATCAAAAGGCATGGTGATAAAAAGTTTACCTATCTATGAATTTACCAATTCTAAAATTATATTAAATCAAGAATGAAATATGAGAATGCTTGTATTTACAATGCCTTTTTTCCTTTTGCAAAATACAACATTATTTTGGAGAAGGAAATGACAAACCAACTCCATTATCTTTGCCAAGAAAACTCCACAGGGTTGAAAAGAGTAAGACATGAATGAATGACAACAAAATTATTGATTTCACGTGATTACGTAACTTATAAAATTAAGCGAGCTCATTAATAAAGCACAGTACGGTGAGATATTTAGCCCTATCACAAGCTGAACTTGAAAATTTGAGAATCCTTAAATGGCTACAAATATACACAACAGTTTTTTCTACTGAATGACAGATCTGAAGAAAACCTGGTTCAAATCCCTAACTCAGAAATACCTACCACGTGATCAGAAGTCACTTGGTTAAGTCTTAGTTTCCTCATCTGCAAAATGGGGAAAATACACTCACCTTGAACTCTATTAAACATGAGCTTATTACTACTACTCTCTTTTCAGGATCCTGATAAATTACCTACACACCCTCCAAAAATCATCTTTTGAGCATCAATGCCCCAGCTACTTTCTTGACAAGGTAGATAGCACACCCAGGCACATGACCTGTTAGGAATAAGCAGGCTTCCCAACCTTGCAGCACCTATTTTGATGTCAGAGACCCACCATCACTCTTTCTTTTGTAGATATACTGTTCCATCTGGAAGTCCAAATTGGTGCCACCCAAATGGGTCCCTGCAGCAAGGAATTTGAGGACATCCTCCTCCTTCATCTGCAAGACATCTAGGGCTCCGGACATTGTGAAAGTTTCCCTTTAAAGTTACGACGGAAACCTGAAATACCAGAAAACAATTAGAATCCCCGGTACTGGACTGCCTTTTGAGAAATCCGTTCATCGACCCACAAATTCCTAATAAGCCTAATAGAAGTATAAACTTGAGCAATATGGTTTCACCCATCTCTGTTAACATCTAAAGTCGTTTTATTACTAATTCTGCATCACAGCTATCTTAAATAGAAAGCAGCCTCCAAACCAGGAAGTCAAGGGTTCAAATCCTATGTGAGCCTGGGCAGAGGCGCGTTGGGTCGAGTTTGCAGACAGTCGATACCACTGGTTCTCAAAGTGTGGTCTGCAGATCCACCACGTCAAAACTATTTCCACAATGCAAACAAACACCCTTTAATTTCTAATAAGGTAGCTAAAAGTAACCTGTATTTTAAAAGTCTTCGGAGCGCTTCTCCAGCCCTTATTCCTAAAACGTCAGCAAACAACACAGCAAATGACATTTCTGCCGTGCTGGGCAGGAGCCGGCGGCTGCTTTGCCACTCGTGGGTCCCCAACTGCACCTAACTCGCGTACCAGAGGCTGCGGCCCCAGCCCCCAGCCTCGCTCCACTGTGTGCCGGGGTTGAGACCCCAGACAAGTGCTTCCTCTCCTCCGAGGGTCTCGGGGGAGGTGCCCGCCCCCAGCCTCAGATCGTATCTGGGGGGACCCGAGGAGGATGTTTTCTTGCATTAGCCGCAAGGACGCAGCGCGGCTCCCCGGCGGCCATGGCCCTCCTTCCCTTCCCTGGCGGGGCGAGGGCGCCGGAACCTTCCCGCGGAAGGCAGGAGGGCGGGCGGGCGGCCGAGACACGGCCCAGCGGGGCCGCCACGTGCGCCGGCCCTAACCAGGCCTGGGGCCCGCGCGGAGTCAGCGCCAGCCCGGGGTGGGCCCCCCCACCACCCCGCCGGCCCCTGAGGCCTCCCGCCCCCCGCCTCTCCTCCTGCCCGGGGCGGCTGGACGCGACAAGTAGCGCGCAGACACTGACCGAGAACAACGCCGTATGGAACCCACTACTGGGCAGCGAGGAAAGGGATGACGGGCGGAAATGACGTCCTTATATAGACCAGCCGCCGCCGTGGGCGGGGCGAACGCAGGAAGTGCTTTCCTTAAGGGCAGTGTGAGTAGCCGCCAGGGGGCAGAGCAGTGCAGTGACGTTCCTGAGTCAGCGGCCCTCCACTGGAGGCCAACTGGAAAGGGAAGCGGCTGCTCCCTCCCTCTCCCGCTCCTCCCGACGATGTCCCGTCTGTGCGTGCGCGTGCGCCGGAAAGAGCGCCCCCGCCGCGGGGAAACACCGCCCTGCGCCTGCGCCTGCGCGCCATCCTCTGCCCTTTCCCTGAGGGCCACCGACTTTAAAAAATTAAATTCAATTATTAAGTCCCTATAGTGTCTTGGGGGGAGGGAAAGAAAAGTAGGGAAGGAAGGGAGGAAGGGAGAGAGGAGGAAGGAAACAGGGGGGAGAAAAGAAAGAAATGCATGAAGCCCTACTGTGTGCCAAGCTCTGGGGATGCAAAGAGGAAGCCAAAGCAGGCCTTGCCCGCTGGGAGCTTATATTCTGATGAGTGCATGTGACGCAGAGTCCCGGCCGCACGTCTGCAGGTGACCCAGGGCACCCAGGAGGACCTTGTTACAGATTCTTAGAGGAAGTCAAATCCCCCAGCATGCCTTCATAGAGCCCAGAGCCGCTCCTCTGTTTCTGAGCGGGATGAGGCCAGTTGTGTGTCACGGGAGCCGGAGACGTGGAGTTTTTGTCACTGCACTGGTTCATCCAACATCCACAGGAGCGTGGGAAGGCACCTCATCCACCTTCTGGTCTCCTCTGCAGAAGAATACCTGTGGCACCTGCTTGACAGGGCTGTTGTGAGCATCAGGTCACATGACATGTGTAAAGTGCTTGGCACACAGTAGGCACTAAGTGAAATGTCTGTGGTTTTCTTAGTGGTCAGGTTCCCAGTGTCCTCATGCGGTCATCGCATTTATACCTTTCCTGCATCTACCTGCTGCCTACCTTCTCCAGAATTATACTTTCCCTTCCAAGAGTCCCATTCCTACAATGTCTGGTCCTTAGCAATTGGATTAAAGCAATTCTCTACGGCACAGTGGTTATAAAACTAGCCTTGGAATGAGTAAGACCCGGATTAAAGTCCCACCTCCAACAGCTAGGTGATAGGGTGGATAGAATGCCGGGCCTGGAGCAAGAAGACTCATCCTCCTTATTTAAAATCTGGCCTCAGACACTTGTTGTGTGACCCTTGGCAAGTCACTTAACCCTGTTTACCTTAGTTTCCTCCTCTGTAAAATGAACTGGAGAAGGAAATGGCAAAGTACTCCAGTATCTTTGCCAAGAAAACTTTAGATTGGGTCACAAAGAGGATGATACAAATCAAAAAACAATTGAACAACTGTCTCACCTTGGACAGACACATATTGGCTGTGCAACCCTGAAAAAGTCACTTAAACTTTTATCACCATAGGAAACTCTCTAAGACACTAAGTAGCTGAGAAGATGCAGATCTGAGTTGGAAGGAGTTTCCACACAGGAAATTCCCAACACTATGTCTAAAAACAAACAAAACAAAACAGCCGAAGAGAGATTTGCATTTTAAATGATAGTTAATCTAAAGGAATCTTTGTTGGAATGTGTGTGGGAGGTATTTTCAAGGTGAAAAGACTTTCCTGTAAACCTTTGCCTACTCCAAGTCCACCCACCCATTTTTGGGGGGGGGATGATAACTAAGCAATGTGGCTAATTTCAGAGGTACTAACTAGAAGGAGATTATCACCCCTTTATACTTCTATGGCAAATGCTATGATAGAAACGTGAAGATACAGATTTATAAATCAAAAACTTCCCTTCCCACACCTAACCTTTACCCTACATCCAACTATTCATTAAATCCTTTCTTGTATTGGTTTCTTCCTTTTTGGTCCAGTCTTCCCAATTACAACCACTTTAGATTAGGCCTGGTTATAATTTCTGTGTAATATTTTAACTATCAGAACATATCTTTCTCCATTTGCTTGATGCTCAAAGCAAAGTAGCAGGAGACATTAGAAAATGAAAGGGGACAGTGAAGTGGATAGAGCACCGGCCCTGGATTCAGGAGGAACTGAGTTCAAATCCAACCTCAGACACATAACACTTAATAGCTGTGTGACCCTAGGCAAGTCACTTAACCCCACTGCCCCACCGGAAAAGAAAAAAAGAAAGAAAATGAAAGAAGCACCAAAGACTTCAGTCCAGTTTTGCTGAACTTCATGAAAATCAGGGCCACACAAACAACTGGAAACAAAGCAGATACTCGCTGATTAGAGATTGGCCAAATAAGTTGTGGTACTTAAATGTAATGGAATATTGTGCCATAAGAAATACTGAATATGAAGGCTTCAGGGAAGCATGGGTTTTATATGAACTGATGCAGAGTGAAGTAAGCAGAACCACCCCAAAAAAATGCCACATTACAACAAAAGAACAGAAAATGAATATGATGTAACTAAGATGACCAAATTTGGAATTGTAAAGGAAATTAAAAAATATGCCTTCCTCCCTTCTATTCAAAGGTTAGGGCCCATGGATATGGAGCATTATATATACTATCAGACTCTCTTGATGGGTTAGTTGGTTTGGCTAAATTTTTTTTCTCTTCCTTTTAAATTTTTTTTTTACTACAAAAAGCAATCTACTAACTAGAGAAGAGGAGAAAATATATTCAGGAAAAAAAAGTGACACAAAAAGGTAATAAAAATGTAAGAAATAAAATTAGAGCTTCATTAACACCTTGCTAGGAAATTCTGTGACAAATATGTGTCATTTGCATCTTTTAAGGTTTGAGGAAAGAGTCAATTTTTTTCTCATTTTGTATGCATTCCTGATTAAACCATAATATTGAATTTTACTAAAGGACACAGAAATCTGATGTTTCATGACGTCACAGAATCAAAGAATCACATTTTTATAACAATACTCAAGAGTTAAGTGGACCATTTTCTATATCTCCAATCACATTTTTCTCCCAAATATATCTGTATTTTCATCAAAAACCATTAATAGGTCTGTTACTGGTAGAAGTGATACATCTTACATAAGAGTTCAGCTTCTTTGCAGAAAAAGCTCTTATAAGCTTGTGAACTCGGGTCCAGACCTAGCTAGTTGGGTGACCTCTATGTCTCAGTCTTCTCATCTGTCTAAATGATGGGATTGAACAAAACAATTCCTTAGCTTCAGTCCTTTTCTAAAGCTTATGATATTAGGGGCAGCTAGATGGCGCAGTGGATAGAGCACTGGCCCTGAAGACTCAGACCAAACACTTGACACTTACTAGCTGTGTGACCCTGGGCAAGTCACTTAACCCCAACTGCCTAGAAATTTAAAAAAAAAAATGACCAACTAAAGCCTATGATATTAAGAAATAATTTGAGAATAAGACAGTACATAGCAAATGCTAAGTTGCCTTATCAGAAATTAAAGAAAGGAGAAACCAATGTTTGCTAAAGCTGCCTAGGAAAGTTTCATCGAAGAACTGGGACCTGAGAGAAGCCTTAGAGAATAGCTAAGTGGAATTAGAAATGGAAGGATTGCCCATCATTTGGGTAACAGTTGAACAAGTTGTGGTACATGACTGTGAAAGAATATTATTGTGCTGTAAAAAATGACAAGCAGGATGGTTTCAGAAAAACCTGGGAAGACTCGTGTGGACTGATGCAAAGTGAAATAAGCAAAACCGGAACAATATACACAGTAACAGCAATATTGTAATGAAGATCAACTGTGAAAGACACGGCTACCCTGATCGAGACAATGATCCAAGACAATTCCAAAGGACCCACGATGGAAAATACTGTCCACCTCCAGAGATCCAACTGATGAACTCTGAGTGCAAACTGAAGTATAATTTTTTTAACTTCCTTTATTTTTTTGGTTTTTTTTTTCCAACATGGGTAATATGGAAATATTTAGCGTGATTTCCCATGTACAATTGATATACTGCTAGCCTTCTCAAGAGGTTGAGGAGGGGCTGGAGGGAAGGAGAGAATTTGGAACTCAAAATATATTTTTTAAAAATATTAAAAATAAATAATAAAATTTAAAAAGTGGAAGAGAGAGAACAGTTAGGTAGAGATGTATGCCTCAAGAGGCTGAAAAAAGGGAATGAGTTGGCCTCATTCAGGAGCCAGGACATCCTGCCGATGACACTCAATAGCTTTGTGGCCCTGGACAAGTCTCATCACCTTTGTTAGTGAGTTTTCTCATTTGTAAAATCCAGATATGATAACAGCATCTAACTCACAAGGTAGCTGTAAAGATTAAATGAGCCGCTAAATTGAAAAGGCTTTGCAAACCATAGCAACAGCTGAGATTTATATAGTGCTTACTATGTGCCAGGCACTGTGCTAAACTCTTTACAAATATCATCTCATTTGAGCCTTACATCAACTCTGGAAGGTAGGTGCCATTATTATCCCCATTTTACAGATGAGGAAACTGAGGCAAATAAGAGTTTAAGTAACTTACCCATGATCACACACCTAGGAAGTATCTGAGGGCAGATTTGAACTACCTAGTTGTCCAACAAAGTCATATGAATGTTAGCTATTAGGCTTTCCTCACCCTCTCAATAGGGTCATTTCCCTAAGATTACATTCCAGTTACTTTCTCCCCTACTCTCCCTCTCCCTCTCTCTCCTTCTCCTTTCTTCCTCTCTCTCTCACCCCTCCCTCCTTCCCCTTCATCCTGTCTCCTCATCCTCCATTACCCACATATGTATGTGGGTATAAACACACACACTCACACACACATAGAGGTATATATTATGGTACACAAAAGTCTTTGTGTAGTTTTAAGGTTTAATAGCTGAAACACTGTGTGTGTGTGTGTGTGTATGTGCCCATGTACATGTCTGTATACATATATGTATATGTATATATACATAAATATACACATATGTATATATACACACATCTCTACACATAGACATTTACTTGTCTCTCCCATTAGACTGAGTTGCTTGACGTCAGTGACTGTTTTTGCCCTTCTCTGTATCTTCCTGTATTCAGTAGAATCTTAAATGACTCAGGGAACAAAGATTTAACTTTTTTTTAATAAAAGGGAATTAAAAGTTCAAGTAGTAAATAAACCATTTTTTTAAAAAATCCTAGAAACATGAAAATAAATTTAAAAATAATTAGATAAATTCATCTTTTGACAGAAAGAACTCCCGTAGGGAGACCTCTGTCTGTAGTTCACATCTGTTCTCATTCACTTCTGCCTTCTAGGATTTCTAGTCCTAGAAATCTCCACACCAGATTCCAACCAATATATGCAAGAGCCAGAGTTTTTTACGGTGTGAAACACAATGTTAACGCATAAACAAGTTATTCTATATTGAAAATCCTCCACCTCCTCGACTTTTTCCACCAAGTGTCAAAAGTATACCGCTTTGGTGAGAGTGGACTCCATAACCAGTACTACCTTTATAGGATTCTTATTCATGTAAAAGTCTGTGTGCACCACTCTGTTGTTTACCTACAAAATAAAAAGCACAAATTACACAAAGGATGAGTAAAATTCAATTCAACAATTAGATAGTTGAGTAGGGCAGGGCTGACTTTTGCCTCTTTGTTTCACAAAGTTTAGCAAGGTGTCTGGCTTATGGGAGGTGCTTAAGAAATGTTTATTGATTATTAAACAAGCATTTATTAAGCACTCAGGGTACAGTAAGCTTGCCTCCTAAATGTAGATAAGGAGGAAACAAAGACGAAAAGGAAACAGTGTCTGCTTTCAAGGAGTTAACATTCTAAGGCGAGACACAATAGGCACATATAAATATAAACAGAGTATATACAAAATAAAGACAAAGTAATGGGGGAAGGGAGAGATTACGACAGAGTTCCAAAAACCTTTGCATAGTATCTCGCCTATTTAGTGCTATCCAATGTATAATGGCATGTAGATATAAATACTAATGGAGAAAGCACACTATCTTGGGGAACACTCACATGACAAGTAACTAATTGCTTTATGTACATTAATATTAAGTGAAGCATTTTATATCTTTAAAAAGGTACCAACATCCACTATTTTCTAATTGACCAAAATGTCATGTCCTGTTATAGAAAATGCAGGTTTAGAATTTTCTTTAAGAATAACAAAAAACAACCCCAATAAGCCTCACTCAAGTCACAGTGCACTGCAACCTGGATTAAGGGAAATGCTAAGGTCGAGTATCCATGCTTCTGTTCACTGAGTCTTCTATGGCTGGGTGATTTTATTTCACTTAATGCCTAACCTTTTATTATATTTATCCCAACTAGGGACCACTATTCCAGAAGGAATTATGATGTGAGCGATGCTGAATTGAATGTGATTTATATGGATGAATAAATGGTTGAAACATGACTTCCCCATGAAATTGGTATTCATACAAAGCAGGGCCAAGAAAAAAAATAATAACAACAAAAAAAAAACCTTTGCATAGAAATTAATTTCGAACTAAAACTAGTAGAAGAGCTAGAGATTCCAAGAGGCAAAAGTGAGGGAATTCTAGGGAATGTGCTGATAGAATGAAATAAATGCTTGTTAACTGGTAGAAGAAAAATAGCATAACATGGAGTATGAATTGATTTACTGATAACTCACTTGAGTAAAAAAATCCGCAATATGCAACTTCTTGCCATGTTGACTAAAGACTTCATCTATTGCTTGAATCATCACAGAACCATCTTTTGGGTGGCGTAAAGCAACGTGATCTGCTAGTGAAGAAATAAGAATATTGTTTATATTTTTTAAACATAGAGCCAATGGGATTCTGTGTAACTACAAATGGTTGACCAGAAGACCAAAACCCTAGTGGGTTGAACCAATTCTGCATTAGAAAAAATATTGTGTGGAATTAGTCATTTTAGTCTCTGGTGATCTATGCTTACATGGTGACGAACAGGAAGAGTTTTATGACAAATATGAAACGTAATTAAGCACAACTAGATTTTGAACAATCATGATCACTTTCACTTAACATGCCTTAGCAGCGCACAAATTCACCGCCTCACCTTCTTGGGTGGGATAGATGATATAGTAATCACTGAATGTGGGAAGTCGCTTTTTCTCTGAATCATCCAGTTCCATCGGTTCATCATCGGCTTGAACAACACCACCATCTCTACGATCTGTTTTTGTGAGAGAAGATGTGAATAGACAGTGAGATAAACAGCCATTCAGTAAACTCGTACTCATGAAAAATGAACCCATCAGAAACAAGCATGTTTCACTATACATACATTGGTGAGGGTAGCTCACAATCATAGGTCCCAATAGCTCCAGAAAAGCTGGGCAAGCCAGATCCCAATCTAAGAAGCAAACTGCAAATATACAAACCGTAACATTTCTCAAATAGGCCAGGGACTAGCAATTTCACCATGTTAGAGGCTAATAGGATCATAGCATTACCAACTTATAGTTGGAAAGGACCTTAGAGATAATCCAGCCCAATCCCTTATTTTACAAATAAGGAAACTGAGCCCATAAAGGTTATATGACTTGCCCAAAGTCACAAAGGGTATTAGTATGAATAACTTAAGTAAAGCACTTTGCAAAATTCAAATCTCTATAAAAATGCCGGTTATTATTAGTAGTGTTTTACTAATAGTGTTAGTATTATTAGTAGTATTTTAAATGACAGAACCAGGATTCAAAGCCAGATTGTCTGCTTCCAAATACAGTACCTTTTCCACTGTATTTCTCAGGGCCCTAAGAAACCACAGAAAATTATCCCACAGTGAGTGAGGAAGAGAAGTATACAGGGGAACACCCATAAAAACGTGGATGAGGGAGTATCACAGTGGAGAAACCGTAAAACCTTGGATTTATAAATGCTAAGATCTCGAATCCATTTATTTAAAAGGACCCAAGACACTTTAACTGATAGGATGCTAACACTATGGTAGTTTGGGGCTAGAAACATACAAAATTTGACATCTTTTTGGATGTCAAAGGGCGGCTAATGAGTATTTCTTCTCTTGATATGACAAGAAGCAATAGAGAAAGGAAAGTCTTTCTCAGATGAAAATCAGGGTCAGAATTTCCTAGGGAAAAGGAAAAAATGCTTATAGTAAAAACTAAAAATTCCCTGCCACTCGTGATATGTTCTTTTTCCTTCTACTTACCTCCTCTACAAGCCTGGATTACAAAGATTTTTGGTTTCTTTTGAAGGGCTGGACAGTTTTCATTGTTGAACATTCCAAAAATGTCTGATAAGTTGACTCTTTCATCCAATACTGTTTTGATAACACCTTTTCCTCCATGGGCCATGAGAGTAACAAGGCAGCAGCTAACATCATCTTTTATTCCATTTATTCCATCTCGAAACTCTCTTAATTTCTCCATTAACTCCTGTGACAAATGGCATTGCAAAATGGATTTATTCAGAGGGTGGACTTTTGCCTCATTTTGCATAGATTGTGATACTGATTGCTTATCTTCTAACATAAATTATAGGCCCTTAAAATGAAGTGAGTGTCTAAGATGGCATCATCATCATCATTTTTGTAGGTAATTTTGAAAAGAAACCTGGCCCTCAGGAAGACAGAAGGTTTAAGAAGCAAGAGAAAATTGGAAGAGTAAAACATTTTGTTTTTATTACAACTAGGACTCTGGGATCATTTTATATGATTGCATATAGCATCTGATGTAAATTTCATCATGAATATTCAAGTTACATATGGGAAATCCAATCTCCAAATTCTGTTTACAAAAATAAAATTGGATGACTGAAAGGACTAAAATCCAACATTAATTATTGTTAGGGGTCATGGAACCAGTGATGGCCCCCAGTGCAAGAGGATTGACTTCCCTGGGCTGTTTTCCCAGTCAGGAAGGGTATCAGGCAGTGTAATAGGGAACAAGAGGGAGACAACCGGAGGGGGGACTCTGTAGTGGCCCGTCCTCCTGGCCACGAATCTCAAATTCTACTCAGCTCTATAAACCTGGTAGAATCAAAGCAACTAACGGAGCATTCATTTTCTTGAAACAGAAAGGCTTTCCTTTACAGGAGAAGGTAGGAAAATAATAGGCTCTCTAGGCCCTCAAATACCACTGAAATACTTAAAAGGCTTAAAAAGTCCATGAGAATGCAGTTGAATTCATTAACTCCCTGACACTGGTCCCTCAATAGCAGTATTGTGATTCTTTTATCAGAGTTTAGAAAGGAAAGAGACTTTGCTGTTCAGATAGTATTCATGATGACCTCATAAAAAAGGAAGCAGTGGGAGCAGCTAGGTGGCACAGTGGATAGAGCACTGGCCCTGGAGTCAGGAGGACCTGAGTTCAAATCTGCCCTCAGACCAAACACTTGACACTTACTAGCTGTGTGACCCTGGGCAAGTCACTTGCCCAATTGCCTAAAAATTAAAAGAAGGAAGCAGGCTATTAAAGTCAGTGTCTCAATGCTTGCCTTTTCATCAGGATTCATGCATGAAGTACATTCAAACTTGCACTCTTCAAGCCAATTTGTTATCATATTTAGATCCTGCTCGGCCCCTGGTCTGCCTGTTTTCACACACATCACAAAAGCCTTACGAGTTTGTTCCATGTTATAGCGTTCCTGTTTGTAAGTAAAATTAATAAGCACAATTCAATCCCATATATCAGAGAACATAACACCCTAGACACATTGGCCCACATGCTGCCTGTCCACCTCCTGGGGTCAGGGATGGGGTTTACCTGAGAGCCCAAAGCTGACCATCTCTCTTTGGGGGAGGTCTGTGTGTGTGTGTATGTGTGTGTTTGTATGTGTGTGTAAATAGATTTGTTTCACTTATAGGTCCCTGAAATCCTCCAATACAAATCACTCATTCTGAAGTACATAGAACCAGTAAAGCAGGGCATTCTAACAAAACTGGCAGGAAGGTGTCACTACCACATACAAAACACCACCAATCAAAATCATACCACTCTGAGGTAAGGCAGGGTTGGGTTGGAGTTAATCTGGGGAACAGGTAGCCCTGTGAGGGAACAGGAGTGATAGCTGTATGGATTCCCTAGGTGCTGGATCCTTCTCATCCTTTCTACAAGTCAGGAACTTTAGCAGATTCCAGTGGATTAGACATAGTTTGTAGTTCCCCAAATCTCCCCAACTCCAGAGGTATGGTCCTAATGATTCCAATGAGAACAGGCCACTTAAGTCCCTGGAGAGATGTGGCCTTATTCTTTCCTGCTCCCATAAGTCAGTCCAGAGGCTCCCACCACCGAAAGAATGAGATACAGAAGTGGGACAAGACAGCAACTCTGGCATTCCTTGACATTTTAGCTTGGGAGCTGAGTGGTGAGCAGAAGAGACCCTTCCTCCCATACAGTATCAACAAGCCCATCAGCACTTTGCTAAGCGGACAAATATGGCCCAACTGGTTAGGTCTTAGGGGCTGGATGGTGGCTGTCCTAGGATAAATTAGCTGGGTTAGCACCACCCCTTGGCCTCCTGGGGGCAGCGAGCCATTTCAGTGGCTGGGAATGCCTCTAGGACGATCTGGGTGACTGACACTAAGGAGGACACACTCTTTAGAGATGCCATGCCTCAGTTCCACCACTCTCATCCCCTTGTTTCCCTAAGTTTTCCCTCAGCCTTCTTCTGGAATGCAGCAGGGACCCCCCAATCCTTCCCCTTTCCTAGGAGCTCTGGTGGGATGTGACTGCCTTGCTTTCAGATGGGGGAGAAAACAAAGTAGTAATGAGGGGACAAATAAGGTAAAGCTAGAAATGAGGGTGGGTCTAGGAAAAAAGAAAGACCACAGGATTTAGGAGGAATGGGAGACAGTCTGGTAGAATGCTGATTCTGGAGAAAATCATGCAGTCCAATTTGACTTGACTAGAGAATGTATGAAGGGGTGCAATTTGAAATCAGTTTGAAAAGTTAGGTTGGAGCCAGATTTCGAAGGGCTCTAAAGGCCAAGAAGAGGAGTTTGGTTTTTTATCCCAGAGGGAATAGACAGTCAATGGAGTTTTTTGAACAGGTGAGTGAAATAACATACAAATCTCCCCTTTTACAGCTATGGTAAGGAGCCAGTTCAATTGCCTGAATGATATGCCATGTAACTGTTAGAGACTTACATTACTCAGGCTTAGAAAAAAATTAAGAATTTACCAAGTCAGGGCCATCATTTTCATACCGTCTCTTCAAATTCATCCTTGAAGCGGTTTCTATTTTCAGGGAAAATGAATAAAAAAGAACAAATAATAGCATTACTCATTTATTGCTTTCCCACATCTTCTTTCTCTATCTCACACATTTCTTTAACCCCGTTCCCTCCTGTGTTCTCCAGCAGATTGCTCCTCTAATCATTTCCCCTCCCCCTCTGTCCTCTAACCTCTCCCTATCTGTGGCTTCCTTCCCTTCTGTCTATACATAGGCTCAAGTCTTTCCTACCTTCCACAAACCTTCACCTTCCCTGCCAGCTATTGCTCTCTTTCTTTCTATCTCACTCTTTCTCTCCCTCTCTCTCCTTTTTTTTTTTCTGCCACACACCTGTCTTCAATCATCCCCTCTATTTCCTCTCCTCTCACTCACTCTTCAAATCCTTGTAATCTGGCTTTGGGCATGATCACTCAACAAAAACTGCTCTCTGTAGATTTACCAGTGACCTCTTCATTGCCCAATCAGATGACCTTTTCTCAGTCCTCACCTTTTGTACCACTCAGCAGCATTTGACACTGACGACCCTCCCACATTCTCCTCCTAGATACTCTCTCCTCAATGGTATTTTGTGATACTGGAGAAAAGGAGTAAGGATCTATATAGTGCTACTTTGTACCAAGCACTTTTAATAAATATTATCTCATTGAATTCTCACAGAAGTCCTGCAAGGGAGGTGCTATTTTATTTCCATCTTTCAGCTGACAAAACTGAGGCAAACAGGTTAAGTAATTTCCCCAGGGTCATACAACTAGTAAGTGTCTGAGGTTGGATTTGAACTCCAGGCTCAGGGCTCTATCTACTGTGCCACCAGCTGCCTCTCTTGGTTCTCCTTATTTCCTATCTGGCTGCTCTTTCTCAGCATCCTTTGCTTCACCGTCATCCATATTCATGTTCCCTTACAGTTGGGATAGCCCAAGGCTCTGTCCTGGAGGAGCTTCTCTGCCCTCCCTCTGCAATTGGTAGATCAGCCCAGCTACTATTCTCTCATTTAGTAACTTCTTTAGCCTCCATGGATTTAATCATGGGATTGGTGCAAATAACTCCCAGATCTACACATATGGCCCTGGCCTCTCTCCTCACCTCAAGTACCACATCACCAATTGCTTCTGAAGTGGACATACTACAGACATCTCATAAGAGCCAAATCTAAGGCACAACTCATTGTCTTTCCTCTTAAACACACCTGTCTTCCAAACTTCCTTATCTATGGTGACACTACCACAATCCTTCCAATCACTCAATACCTTTGGCATGATGCCCAACTCTCACTCTTCAAATCCAATCTGTTATCATTTCTATCTTCATGACGTCTCTTCTACATACCCCCTTCTCTTCCACACTAGTTCAGCCTCTCCCTTGGCCTATTACAACAGCCTCCTTATCAAATCTCCCTTCCTTAAGTCCCTCCCCACTCCCACCCATTGTCCACATACCAGCCAGAGTGATTTTCCTAAAGTACAGGTCTGACCAAGTCACTCCCTTTCTCAATAAGCTCTAGTGACTCCTATCACCTCTAGGATCAAATACAAAACCATATTATTTAAAGTTCTATCTTTCTAGGCCTACTACATAGTATTTCCCTTCATGTTCCCTCCAATCCAGTTAAATTGACCTTCCTCCTGCTTCTCATACATAACCTTCTATTTCTCAACTCTCTGCCTTTATACTGGCTGTCCACCACACTGCCATATACTCTGTCCTTATAGCTAACTCTTAGCATTGCTAACTCACGATTCAGTTCAAGAAGTGGATTCTGGGAAGATGGTGGAAGAGGTCAGAAAATTCCAAACTCTCCAGATTTCTGCCACAAACAAGATAAAATAATGCCTCAGGGGGGAACATAGAGTGGTAAGAATAAACAAGAGTTGGGGCAAAACACTGGTCCTCCTGGGAGAATCACAGAAGACTGGAAGAAAATCCCAGGACTGAGGTTTGGTCCCTGTGAAGAATAAACACCTCCAGGCTAGTTCTGTTGAATCACCAAGCAGCAAGTCCTAAGGCTAGCTGTGTTGGGAGGTAGCCTTGGCCCCAACAATAGGAACTTTCACTTCCAGGACAGTGTTGGGAGTCCAGGAGTCCCTTGTTTGAGCCAAGAAAGATTGAGGGAACCCATGCTGATAAGGATAGTCAGACCCAGCTGTGCTGCCAAGACTCGTCCTGGGTGAGAAAGAACCAGCACGTACCAGGTGAGTGTCAAAGCAATGGGGCAGGGATACAGCTGGTTGTGGTCACTTACAGAAGGACAGAGTTCTTAGTTTCAGTTTCAAGCTAGAGGTGAGTATTGATGGAGGACCTGAGGCCAGAGGCACCATCCCCCATAGCCCAAGACTAACAGTGATTACAAAAAATGAGCCGCTACAAATAAAAAAAATGAGTAGGCAAAGGATAAAGAATCCAACCATAGGAAGTTACTATGGGAATAGAGAAGACCAGAGTTTGTCTTCAGAAGAGGATACGGAAGCCAAAAGAGTGTCTCCTACCCCAAAGAATAACACCAAATGGTCACTTGCCCAAAAAGAATTCATAGAACTTTAAAAAGACTTAAAAAAATCAAATGAGAGAGATTAAGGGAAAATTTTTTTTAAAAAATAAAAACAATCCAAGAAAAACAAGAAGAAAATGAAAAGAAAGTCAACCAATTAGAAAAGGAGATCCATAATCTTAAGGAAGAACATGACTCCTTGAAAATTAGAATTGGCAGACAGCTAGGTGGCACAGTGGATAGAGCACCGACCCTGAAGTCAGGAGGACCTGAGTTCAAATCCAGCGTCAGACCAAACACTTGACACTTAATAGCTGTATGACCATGGGCAAGTCATTTAACCCAAATCGCAAAAAAATTTTTTTTAAACTAAAAAAAAAGTCTAAAAAAAAAAAGAAAATTAGAATTGGGTAAGGGAAAGCCAGCAAAGTTATAAGACACCAAGAAATAATAAAACAAAATATTAAAAAAAATGAAAAAATAGGATAGAATGTGAAACATAAGAAAAACAACTAATCTGGAGAACAGATGAAGAAGAGACAATATAAGAATAATTGGACTACCTGAAAACTATGATCAAAAAAAGAATCTTGATATAATAATACAAGAAATAATTTTTAAAAATTGTCCTGAAGCATTAAAACAAGAGGGAAAAGTAGAAATAGAAATAGAAAAAAAAAAGTCACCAATCACCACCTTAAAGAGATTCTATGAGGAAAACCTATAGGAATATCACAGTCAAATTCTGAAAACCCCAGCTCATGGATAAAATATTACGAACAATAAGAAAAAAAATTTAAATATGGCAGTGCCACAATTAGAATCACACAAGACCTAGCACTAGTGACACTAAAAGACTGCAGATCTTGGAACACTATATATCAAAGAGCAAAAAAACTGGGGTTGTGGCTGAAAATATCATATCCAACAAAATCTTGAACAAAAAAAAAATGGACATTTAATGGATTGTCAGACTTTCAGGATTTTGTGGGGAAAAAAAACCTGAACTTAATAAAATCTTTGACATATAAGATCCAAGAGAAATATAAGATACATATCAAAGACTTATTACAAGGCACTCAATAAGGACAGACTGTGTACTTTTTATATGAGGAAATGTAAAACCTATGTCTAAGTTTGTTATTAGTAACTGGGTAGTTCGTTAGAAAGATTGGGGTAGACCTGAGTATGATATGATTTTAAAAAGTAAAATCATTTAGGAAAAGGTAAAAAGAGTAATTACACAAATGAGGTGTGAGAGGACAAACCGATGCAGAGGAATTAAATGTAGGAGGGCTGGTAGTTGTGGAACCCTACTTTCATTGGGAATGGGTTTAAGAGGGAACAATACATATATAACTAGAAGGATATAAAAATCTTCTAAATTCAGGAAGAAATAAAAGGCTAAGAGGATGCGGGGGAGGATAAGGGAGGGATTTTTAGAGGGGTGGATGAGGGAATAGGATGGGAGAGAGGGGAGACCATAATAGAAGGGTGTTTAGACTAATGTGAATGGGAGTGTAAGGAGGAATCCTTGGAGGCGGAGTAGGTTAAGTAATAGGAAGACAATAGCAGGTAGAAGCAAAGTAGAGGAGTCAGGAGAGATAATAAATAAGAGATACACACAAATATAAAATAAAGATCAGGAATAGAATTTATTAGGGGAAAAAAAGCAGGGGTAGTATTAATGATCTCAGACAAAGTTAAAGCTAAATAGATTTACTCATAAGAGAAAAATAGGGAAAGTACACTATATGTCAGCCATGTTAATCAAGATTATTTTAGATTATTTAAAATAACTAGACAGTACAAGGTTGGAATATTGCTGTGGTGTAGAAAATGATGAGTTGGTAGACTTAGAAAAATATGGAAAGACTTGGACTTACAAAGGAAGATGTTAAACACCTTCAGAGAAACAGAGGACAAATAAGTATAATATCGTCTTACACAGATGCATATAAATGTACGTGTCTATATATGAGTATGATTATAGATATCTATGTATATGTATGTAAGTGTATGTATATATGTGTATATGCAAGTATATATCTTTCTGTATATATGTACATATGTATGTACGTGTATATATCTGTGTTTACAGACATACATATATCCTAGTTTAATTGTCCCTTGTGGGGGTAAGGGGGAAAAAAAGAACAAAGTAAAAAGTGCACAGCAGAGAACAAAAGAAAACTTACAAGAAAGCAAAGATGGACTGCTCTGAATACAATGCATAGTATTTATTCTATAGGCTTTCTTGAAGTGGAAATTTATTGCTGTATATTTTGAATCTTCTCTTACATTCTGCTGTGTGCAGAGCAATGCTTTTTTTTTCTTTTCTTATTCGGTATTTAAGTTTTAATATTTTAGTTTATGTTGCTTTTTCTTTTCTTGTTGGGTATTTAAGTTTAAAATAAATTTAAAAATAAAAAGATTCAGTTCAAGCTCCACCTTTACATGAGGCCTTTCCTGATTCCTACAACTGCAACTGCCCTACTTCCAAAAATCAGTGTATGGATTCTGATTGCATTTTGTATCTATACTCCCGTGCGCATGTCTCCCTCAACAGAATGTAAGCTCCTTGAGGGCAGGAACTATTTTACTTTTGTCTTTGTACCCCCAGCATCTAGCATAGTGCCTGGCACACAGCCTGTGCTTAGTAAATGTTGCTGATTGATTTTTAAGTCCTGGGTTTGTTCACTTGTTTGTTTGTTTAATTTCTGCCTATGTTTTCATGCTTCTGTCTATTTGCTGAATGCTCTATGTAAATCATGAGGGAGGAGGGAAGAGAGAGAGGCAGAAGGCAGGGCAGAAGTAAACCAAAGACGTAAATGCAAAAAGTCTGTGGGAGAGAGGGAGAAGTTAAGGGTAGAGGGAGTCAGCCATCATGAATTGGGAAAAGTATAGGTAGAGTCAGAGCTTTTTATCCAAAAGTTTTGCTTGACTATATAGGATTGTAATAGGAAAAAAAAAATAGGTGGATAGATAGACAGACTGACAGACGGTAGATAGATACAAATGAATTAATGAATGGACAAATAAATAAATGAATGAATAGATGGAAAAAATAAAGAGAAGCAACTCATATTTTATTAGGTACAAATTTAAAGTTTACTCTAGCTTTCTTTAAATTGACAAAGGGATATTCTAAAACTGGAGTCAAATCAGCCACCATTTATTAAGTGCCTACTATGTGCCAGGCACTGGACTAAGTGCTAAGGATACGAAGAAAGGTAAAAAACAGTTCTTGTCCTCAAGGAGCTCATATCTACTAGAGGAGACAACATGCAAATAGCTGTGACCATTTATTTTGTCAAAATCCTTCCTTATGGTCAGCAAGCATGAAGCTCTTTTTACGTGCCAAGCACTGTGCTAAGCACCTAAGATATAAAGAAAGGCAAAAACAGAGTCTCTGCCTGTCCTCAACAAGCTCCCATCCTAATGGCGGACACAACAAACAGACAACTATATACAGTCCTGGAATTCATATTATATGCCAAACACATGTAATGTATACCACACACTTCATCATATTGAATTTACTGTTGGAGATCTTTCACGTCAATGATCTCAAAAGATTAGAGATCAACTCCAAGGATCGGATAGATTATAACATCCTTCAGGTATCTAGCACCCTGCCTAGCATGTAGCTGAACAAAGGGAATCTCAGTAAATACCTGTTGGTTTGGAATGGAAAGGGGGGTGGGAAGATGTCCCCTGAATAATCATTTATGGAGTTATCAAAATGAATCTTCAATCTATTGATATTTTTGGGCCCAGCACTTGGAAGGCCTGGTACTCTAAGAAGGGCCCTGGTTTAGAAGTCAGAAGACCTCAAATCTGGTCTACCTCCCCAGGTAACTTTGGACAAGTCAAGTGACCTCTGTAAGTATCAGTTTCCCCATTTGGCTTCCTGTTTATCTCCCGGCTATTTCAAGTCCTCATCTTTTTAACTGGGGGTTCAAATGCCCATCTAGGCCCCTGATCTTTTTAAACTCTCTCCATCTTTTCTACCTCGGTGACAGGTGAGAGGCAGCAAGGTGATGGGGGCCATGTAAAGCTCTGGATTCCAACACGGCATCTGACTCTCCCTACCTGGGCAAATTAAGTTGCTTGGTAGCTCACTAGCCGGGGGACCAAACACAGGCAAGTCACTTACCCTGTACGCCTCGGTTTGTTCCTCTGTAAAATGGAGCAGTAGCTTAGCTTACGAGGAGTCTCGTGGGACGCACCCATGAGATGCTCTGAAGAGCTTAGGGACCGTCACACCTGATGATTCTTCAGGGGGTGGGGGGTGGGGGGTGGAGGTGGGAGTAGGAGGGTGTCGGCGCGAGATAAACCCAGAGAGCGGGACCCGCCTGCCCAGGAGGAGGGGAGCCCCGAGCTTGCACCCCGCCTTACCCCACTCGGCTACCAGGTCGTTCCGGCGCATGCTCTGGAACACCCGGACCAGGACCCTGGGGGTCCCGGACACGGCGTAGCGCTTGAGCAGCACATCGGCCAGCGCCGAGGTCGTGGGGGCCCTATCCAGGTCGTGCATCGTGATCCTAGGCTCCTCCCCCGAGTTCCTCAGGTAGAACTTGAACTCCTTCAGCTCGGGCGGGGTCATGCCGTCCAGCGTGCTCTCCACCCGGGCTCTGAGCGCCTCCATGGCCGCGGGGGCAGCGTCGGGGGCGGCTGGGGAAGGGTGCGGGACGGGGAGGGGACACGGTCCGAGCTAGGGGGCGGCGAAGGCGAAAGTGAAAGCAGATGCCCGCGGACGTGGAAACAGCGCTCGCTAGCGGGACAAAGACCCGGGGCTGGCCGTCCGGGGGCGGGGAGGAGGAGCGCGCCCGCGCGCACCCGCCCAGGGTGGGGATGGGCTTGCCCTCCGCTTTCCTCTGAGGGGCTAGCCTTCTGTCCCTGCGCCCCTGCTTCCGCGGTGGGTCTGGCTCTGTCTGTGTCTCTGTCTCCGTCTCTCTCCCTCCCTTCTCTGCTCCTTCTCTTTCTCCTCTTTCCTCCCCATCCGTTCCTCTCTCCCACTCCTCTCTCCTCCACTCTTCTCTCCCCGTCCTCTCCACTCTCCTCTTCTTCATCTCTCCATCCCTTTTCTTTCCCTACCTCCTCTCTCCCTCTCCACTCTCCTCCTCTGAACCCACCCCGCTCTGTCTCTCATTCTAAAGTCCAGTATTTCTAACTCTTTATTGCACTGGAGGTTTGAGACAAAGTTGCAGAATGAATCTCTGTCATTGACCTGGCCATTCAGTGATTCCCTGATGCCTCAGAATATCCAAATTTTACCCACTCTTCAAATCTTAACTCAGCCAACCACTGCTCACTTGCGGTGATTTTTCTCAGCTTGCTTTTACCCTTGTGGTCACACAGCATTTTGAAAAATACATTTTTACTCACATCTTCAGCTTCTTCCATCATCAGAGTTGTCCCAAATAACCATCTCTCTGAAACACCTCCCATTTTTTTAATTAGAAAAGAAATTGTATTTTGGAAGGACTCACAACACAAGGTGGCAATTTCAAAATCAAAGATGTGGCAGAGGAAATGAACAAATATCTTGAAGTGAGGCATAAAACAGGGAATTGGTGCTCACCAGCGTCATCAAGGGATGCTCTGTGCAAAGGAGATCCAAACTTATGAGATGACATCTCAGATCCCTTACCCTCTGAGATGGTCACTTTTGGGAATTTGAAAAGGATCCTAGGTTTGAATTCTCAATTGAAAAGAATGCCAAGGGGCAGCTAAGTGGCACAGTAGATAGAGCACCAGCCTCAGTGTCAGAAGGACCTGAGTTCAAATTTGGCCTCAAAACACTTGACACTTCCTGGCTGTGTGATCCTGGGCAAGTCACTTAATCCCATTGTCTAGCCAAAAAAAAAAAAAAAAACGCCTGAAGGGACAGCTACTTAGCCCAGTGCCCTCCAGTCAGAAGGACCTCGGTTCAAATCAGACCTCAGACACTTACTAGCTATGTGACCTGGGTAAGTCACTTCACCCTGATAGCCCCCCCACCCCCAGCCTAAAAAAAAATACCTGTTTGACCCAGGGCAAGTCATTTAATCTCTTTGGGTTTCATCTACAAAATTGGTAAAAAAAAAAAAAGTGTGAGGGTAGGACTATTCTGTGATCCCTAATAACCATCACATGGCTCATAGAATAAAGTCTAAACTCTTCAATCTGGCTTTTAAGGCCCTCTATAATATGGGTCCTCCCTACCTGTTCAACCTTGTCTTTCATCAATACTTAACCTGAGTCAGATGATTTTTCTGTGGACAGTTAGCAAGTAATTGCTTGTTGTTCCTGCCTTCACCATTCGATGAGGTCTCCATCTAGGTTCTTCAGTTTCTATTCTAGTAGGATATAGGCTGTGAAAGATTCTACCCACTCAGAAAGGCCCTGAATATGGGCAGGGAGACGGGGCTGTAAGATGCCAATTTGATGAGGACAAGCTTAAGTTTGGGGAGGCTCATACTCAGTGGGGCTGCCAGGTGATGGACTTTCTGGCAACAATACCTCTCAAAAACCTTTCTAGGGGGCTGTGATCTGTGAGAGAAGAGGTATTACAAAGTAGGAGGGAATTACAAACCTTTGAAATAATGGCTTGCAGAGCACTTTCCTCACTATAATCCTCTGATGCCAGTAGTGAGGGGTTTATTATCCACTTTTTGTGACAACCTCCTTGAGGGAGCCAGGGGAGCACCTGGGAAAGATCATCAGTTCTGGAATCAGAGGACCTGTGTTTAAATCTCACCTATGTCATATGTTGCCTTTGAGGCCTTGGACCAGGGGTGGGGGACCTGCAGCCTTCAGAGCACATGTGGCCTTCTAGAGCCTTAAGTGCAGCCTTTTGACTGAATCCAAATTTTACAGAATAACTTTTTTTTTTAATAAAATCCTTTTAGTTCAATGATTTGTTCTGTAAAGTTTAGATTCAGTCAAAAGGCTGCACTTAAAGCCCTAGAAGGCCATATGTGCCCTTAAGGCTGCAGGTTCCTGCCCTGTGCCTTGGGCAATGTTACTTGAACTTCCTTAGCCTCAGTTTCCCCATCTGTAAAATGAGCAGGCTGGACTAGAGTGCCTTCTAACACTAGATCTATAGTCCCCAAAACAGTACTCTACTCAAGGTTTCCTGACTGCATAGACACCAGCAATTCCCTTTTTAACCAGCCCTCTCTCCCTTAGGGCATTTGGGAGGGCAAAATCAAATGTTTAAGAAAGTCTCTTTGCATAACACCAAGGCCAAATTGGGATTATTGGGCCCCAAAGTAGCCCCTCATCCTTGCACTGCCCATCCCATTAGCCCTCCACATTTCAAGGATAAAAGCAGATGAATGAGGTATTAAAGTTATGTTTCATATTCATAGATCTCTTAGTAACAGACTACACTTTGAGATTATCCTTCCTTCATCCAAAGATTAGTGTGCTTCCAAAGAGAATGTTCCTTCCAATTATAGACATGTTCTTCATGAATTGTACAAGCAATACAGAGCTCAAGGTCTTCCTAGACAATGTACAATGCTGTCAGGAATAGAAACAGTTAAATTAAATTAACAATTAAATCTGAGCTGGAAGGTGAAGGATATACTGGGATTCCTAGCTAGCCTCAGTTTGGAAAACAGAAAGGGAGCAGAATCATGTACTTAAGAAGGAGTCTAATTCTGGCCAGAGCCTGGATTATTTGCGGGGCGGAGAAACATGGCAAGATGGGTGGTAGCAGCTCAGCCCTTTTCCTGCTGCTTGACTCCCAGATCCAGAGTTAACTCTCCAAAGAGGCAAAGTGTTGCTGATGCATCTGTCAATCATTTCTCCTTTCCTTTCCCTGGAAGCCTTCTCCCCCTAGTGATGCCTCTGCCCTACAGCCTTCTCTTCTGATTGGTGAGACCCTGGCCTTGACCACCAGGCCATTCCCAATTCCATTCCTTGTTCTCCAGAATTTTCTCCCTTACAGTCCCTTGGTATGGATTGTCTCTCCCCTTCCCCACCCCCATTAGAATGGAAGCTCTTTGAAGGTAGGGATTGCCTTCATTTTTTTTTTTTTTTGCTTGTACTAGTATCCTGGACACTTATCACAGTGCCTGGCCCACAGTAAGTACTAAATAAATGTTTTGTCAATCTATCCACCTAACCACATGCCCTTACCAATAGAGGGATCTTCTATAGCAACAAGGCTCTATTATCAATCCACAATGGGCTCAGAATTGAGGACCATAGGAACAGGAATGGGGGTTATTACAAAAGAAATGTATCCATTTTCCTGCCCTCAAGAAGCTTAACATCTCCTCAGGGAAACCAAGCACAAAGGTGGAACAGATGATCTGAGACAGTGATCATGATTAAGGGCCAAAATGATTTGTGCAGGAGGAAGATGAGAAGGAAGAGATGCCTGGGTTAGGTTGGAAGGAATTGGCTGAAGGAGCTGGCCACTAAAGGCTGGCCTGGTGCTGGATAGCTGGGGTGGGGAGTGGAGACTGAGTCTGGGCTTGGAGGGGACATAGCTTGAGGATGAGACAGTCTGGCTGGAAGGAGAGGTTCACAATGAGAGCAGGAGTAAATCAGATGAAAGAGTGAGACCAGATTTCAGATTATGGAATAAAATCGTAGAATTATAGAAACTTAGAGATGGAAGGGACTTTTCAGATCACCTGGTCCAGTCTCCTCTCTTTATAAACAGAGAGTTATTTCAACAAGGTCAAGTGGCCAGAAAGTTGGGACTAGAGCCCAAGACCCCTAAGCCCTGACCAATGTGCTTTGCCATTTATTCCTTAAATGTGGTGTTGTAGAAAGAGCACTGGATTTAGAGTCAAGATCTGAGTACAAATCCTGGCTTTGTTGTTCACTGCTTGTGTGATTTTGGTCAAGTTATTCTTTAAGAGCCATGGTATTATCTTATGTAAAAGAGGCAGGGGTGGGGGGAGTTAGACTGAACTCTCTTCTGGTTCAGAACCTCTGATCCCGTAGGCTGCAAACTCCCTTGAGGGGTGTGACATAATAGTGGTACTTTCCAAAGGTGGAATAGAGGGCCAGTGACTGGAAGGCAGATCAGGACATAAGGCCATTGGGATCATCCAGATGCACTGTGGGAAGGGGCCACACTACAGTGAGATCTGTGGGAATATCTTCAATCACCTCCTCCCTTAAAACTGGCAAAGTGCATTAACTCCATTACCTTCCTTTCACTCTGACAACCCTATCCTATAAGTACTATAGCTATTACTGTTTCCATTTTACAGATGACCTAGGAGATAGGAGTCAAACTCAGGCCTTCCTCCTGACTTCATGTCCATCACTCTTTGCTAAACCATATGGCACCACATTCTTTAAAGAAAGGAAAGGATGGATTTGAGAAATGAGAGACAGGAGTTAGTGACTGACCAAATGAGACAGGAAATATAGAGAAGCCAAGGATGGCTGAGGATTTGAGTTTAGGTGACTGGAAGGTAGAAATAGGCATAGTGAAATGCAAATTGCTTTCCAGCAAGGTTAGTTTGGGGCAGTGAGGGGGCCCAGGGCAGACAGCTCTAGGCTTGGAGTGAGGATAACTTGAATGACCTCAGCAAGACCTGCTTTTGATGATTTTCAAAAAGGATCATTCTTGCACTGCCTTCCTAAGAGGTTGTCTTGAGGGTCACATGAGATAATAGAAGCACTTTTTAAGTTGGGTTGCCCCATATGATGAACTCCTTGAAACTTAGGGTGTATTCATTTCCAGATGTGAATCTTCTGGGATGAAGAAGAT